CAGGCCTCTCTCATCTTTTTAAGTGGGAGAACTTGCACAATTGTTAGCTGACTAAATACTTTTTTTCCCCACTGTATTTCCACAGTGAGTGCAATATAAAACATATCATGAAATCTGAAACTTTGTTTTGTGTCTTTTAGTTCATGTCTGTGACATCTAATGACAATATAAATTTTTAACATATTTAAGATTTGCAGTCTCCAACATATTCAATTCAATTCAAGTTTATTTGTATAATGTAATGTAATATTAGAGAAATGATGGCTCGTTCTTTCTGTGTTGGGATAATATTCAATTCAATTCAAGTTTAATTGTATAGCGCTTTTCACGATACAAATCGTTGCAAAGCAACTTTACAGCAAATTAGGTTTCTACAATATTTAGTGGTAGCTTATCAGTGGTGACTGTCAGTTAATGTACATATGGCATAAATGTACGGAAAAATCAATTAAAGACGTAATCAAACAGAAGATGAACACTATTAACAGCAATTATTATATGATGCAATCAAACTTAGAGCAAAATTTGGTAGTTCTGTATGTTGTTTCAGGGTTGGCATCTTGTTGACTACCTTGCTACACTACACAGGTTTCTGTCCAATCAGATGCTTTCTAGATTGATAAAGCTTCTCCTCCTACTTTCTACTCATAATTCATACTAACTAGCAATAGAAAGTAGCAAAACACAGCTGTTATATAAACTAAAGCATATAGGCTTTTTAAAATAAGTCACAACTTTTTGATATACTGCGTTTATTTGGAGACACTACAGGCGAATACTACATGTCTTTAGGAATAAAGTGTTATATAATTCAGTGTGAATGAACAAACCCCTCAGTAAAAGTCTTCCGAATATAGAGAGGAATAAAATGGTCAAATTTGGTGTATGTAAGTGCTGCTGAAGTGGAGAAAAAACTCTTTAAAGAAATAAGTTGGAAATGAAAGCTACAGGCACAAATAGATAAAACATTCAAAATACACTTTTAAGTGTTTATTTTATTGCAATTTCTTTCCACTAATCTGAAACACCACATTATGAAAAGACAAATAGCCCAAAATCTGACCAGTGCATAAAATAACAGACGTCATTGTCTTAAGAGACGTCATTCTTAAATCAAGAAAAACATAAACCTGTTTTCCCTTTGAATTCGTCTATTAATTAGATAAAACCAGGTTCAAATTCTTGTTTGATTTTGTTGCCATATTAGAGTTTTTCCAGACGGGATTTAGGATTTCTCTTTTTATCACTCCATAAATCAGAAAATACTGTCAACAGCCAGAAAAACAAAATTTTCATTTTCACCATGTTTTTGGAAATAAAGTGTTGTATAAATTAGTGTGAATGATATATGAGCAAATCCCTCAGTAAAAACCTTCAAAATATAGAGAGGAATAAAACTGTAAAGTTTGGTGTTTGTAAGAGCTGCTGAAGTGGAGATAAAATCTCACAGCTTTTAAAAAATATGCAATTTCACCATGTTTTTGGAAATAAAGTGTTGTATAAATCAGTGTGAATGATATATGAGCAAATCCCTCAGTAAAATCCTTCAGAATATAGAGAGGAATAAAATCGTAAAGTTTGGTGTTTCTAAGAGCCGCTGAACTGGAGATAAAATCTCACAGCTTTTTAAAAATATGCATTTTCACCATGTTTTTGGAAATAAAGTGTTGTATAAATTAGTGTGAATGATATATGAGCAAATCCCTCAGTAAAAACCTTCATGATATAGAGAGGAATAAAACTGTAAAGTTTGGTGTTTGTAAGAGCTGCTGAAGTGGAGATAAAATCTCACAGCTTTTAAAAAATATGCATTTTCACCATGTTTTTGGAAATAAAGTGTTGTATAAATCAGTGTGAATGATATATGAGCAAATCCCTCAGTAAAATCCTTCATGATATAGAGAGGAATAAAACTGTAAAGTTTGGTGTTTGTAAGAGCTGCTGAAGTGGAGATAAAATCTCACAGCTTTTAAAAAATATGCATTTTCACCATGTTTTTGGAAATAAAGTGTTGTATAAATCAGTGTGAATGATATATGAGCAAATCCCTCAGTAAAATCCTTCATGATATAGAGAGGAATAAAATCGTAAAGTTTGGTGTATGTAAGAGCTGCTGAAGTGGAGGTTAAAACTTAAATATTGTATTGGAATTGAAAATCTACAGGCAAATAGATAGTGCAATAAAATTAACACTTAAATTGTGTTTTTTCCACTAGTCTGACAGAAGACATGATATGGAAACAAAACAGACCTCAAAACTGACCAGAGCATGAAAACACACTGGTTTTGCCTGAAGTGTCTGGCCTTAAACGCTGTTGTGAATCTCTGATAATGCTGATGAAGTGTTGTGTTTGCTGCTTTCTCTCAGACTGACTCTCTGTCTCTGTGTCTCTGGTTTCAGCTGGTGTTTGAGGTGGTGGCGTCTGGTGAACAGGGTCTGCTGGCCGTCAGAGGAATCTCGCGTCAGGGTCATCAGTGCAGTAAGTGTCATGAGGCGTGAACATGTGTGTCACAAGGCTTCACTATCTGCTATCACACAGAACCGACGCAGATGCGCTTCCTTTGAAAGCAGATTAAAGAACAGAGTCACCAAACACTGCAATCCCACAATCCCCTCTACTCTTGTGTGTTCCTATGTGAGCTCGGATGATTACAAACATTCATCACTCGCCAAAATATGTTCTAGCCACTTACACAAAGCTGAAAGTGTGTGTGTGTTGATTTGTTTGAGTGTGGGTCACTTTGACCGTTTGGTAGTCACTCATTTTTACTTCGCTACTTTCTTCCTTTTCAGCTGATGCCACTGAGGCTGTGTGGGTTAGTTAATGTTAACTAATGCTGCTGTAGGGGATTCATCCTGTCTAACATTTTGAAGGGACGGTTCATCCATCATTTACTCTCCTTCATGTTGTTCTAAACCTCTGTGACTTTCTTCTGTTAATGTTTTTCATGCAATTACAAGAAACTAAAGCTTTAAAAAAAAGACACTAAAACCCATCAAAGTATCATGACAGTCACCCATATGACTTGTGCTCTGTATTTCGAAGCTTCTGAAGTCATATGACGCTTTGTTAGAAAAATGTATTTTAATATGATTTGTTAATTAATATTAATATATTACTTATTAATTAATATTAATATATGTATTATATGTATATGACCTTTTATTTATTTATTTATTTTAAATATGTGCTTTTGTCATTTTTATGAACAATTGTTATATAATAAATTTCATTTTTATAGCATATTATTGCATATTATATTATGTTAAAATTTTTATTTTAATTTTTATCCTTTACGTTATAATAAAGCACTTCACTTGAACAAGCAAATAACTAATATAACGAGATAAAAATAAAACCCACTTTAGAATGATAATAAAAGACAAAAATTAATGTACATATTTAATGTAAATAATATTTAATGTGAATGCATAACAAAATATTGCAGTTAAAACCAAATAATAATAAAAGATAGCATAGGACATAGAAAAAAACTTCTAGTTAAATGCCAAAGTAAAAGCTACTTAGGAATATTTTTTTAAATAAAAAATATTGAATATATTCAGTATCTATTGATAATGTGTCCTATAGGTTTGGGGCTTGATTGACAAAAAAATGTGATATTTGTTTACTTTATTTAACTTTAATTTATTTATTTATTTTTTCAGTATATTTCCATTTTAGATTATGAATTTCAGTTTTTAATTTGAGTTATTTTAGTACTTAAACTTATTCTATGTGTTTTTCACTGGTTCCTTAAATGCAGAATCTCCACTGGTGCTTATGTAAGGATCAGTTTTCATAAACAGCAGTTGATCATGACAGATATGAAGTCATATAGCATCACGATCTTGTAATTAATAATCGTCTCTGAATGTCCTGTATAACGTGGTTCATCAGCTGATAAATGAAAGCACGTTTGGTTTTGAATGATGTTTCTCTGAGCGTCTGACCTTCACTCTTTCACCTGCTCATCCATCTCTCCTCGTCTGTTATTCATCACTCTTAGAGTCGTTCCCTCCGTCTCTCTTCCCTCGTTCGTTCTCAAACTCCTGTTTCCATGTGAAATCACATTATTTCCAGTTAAATGCATGCAGATCATGAATCCTCTAGTATCAGATCGGTTGAGTTCAGATCTTCAGATGAAGGTCACGACTAATTAAAATCACATGAACTTTCATTAACTCACCTTCACTAGTTATTCTGATTTCTTCCTCTGTTACTTGAATTTGTTTTTGCTCTGTTATGAATCTGATAGACGGTTTCTCATTCAGGCTGATGTGTGTGTGTGGTGTTTCTATGACCTTTCCTCACGCTAATAACTATAACTCCTGCTTATACATAAAATCACATTATTTTCAATTAAATGCATAGCATGTGTTTATGTGCTCAGCAGTATTTTAGTATTATTTATATCATATTATACTTTTTAGTAAATATTTTCATGTTAGTTTAATTACTAGCATTTTAGGTTTAATTTCAATAAAGTATTTTTTTATTTTAATTGAAGGTTTTATTTATTTAACTTTATTTTAAAATTGATTTAGTTTTAGTTCAGTTTTAGTATTTATTTATTTCCACTTGGTGATCCAGTTAAAGGCATCGCATGCATTTGTGTGTGTGTGTATGTGCTCACTAGTGTTATTTTATTATTATTATTGTCATATTAAAGTTTTTATTATAATTTTTAATTAGCTTTTATTTTTATATTTTCAGTTCTCCTTTTAATTTTAGTTACATTTTTAGTAATTTTAATATTTTAGGTTTAATTTTAAACAATCAATTTTTTTAATTAAAATTTTTAGGTTTAATTTATTTAATCATTTATTTATATATTACTTATTTATTTATTTTTTAGTTTTAGTTCAGTTTTCATATCTATAATAAATCAATAAAGACAAAAACAAATAGCTGCTCAGGCAACATTTCTAATTTCCGTTTGTTTCATCTAAGATTTCCATTTTATTTCATCTCCCCTTCCGCTGGTTCTCTCTCAGTTTTTCTGGGTTCTGGGGCTGATGGCCGGTTCTCATTCAGGCTGATGTGTTTCGTGTCTCTCTGACCTTTCCTCGCGCGTTTCTCTAAGTGCTGCGTCTGGAAAATGCTCCTCGCTGCCCTTGAACCGCAGCGGCTGATCCTGTAATATCCTGATGGAAATGTGCTGAGTGAACGTGTGCCGATCCATTTTATGATTGATTCGCTGCAGTTTCACAGGTGAAAGACGTCCGGAGGAGCTTTGCACGTGATTCACTGAGTCGTTTGAGTTGATTCACTGAGTCGTTTGAGTTGATTCACTGTAATGCTCTCAGTTGTGGCTCACTGATTCTCTGTCTGTCTGTGTGTCTGTCAGTGAACACGCCTCACTTCCTGCACATTAAGAGCGTGGAGGTCAACGCCAGACAGACGGCCACCTTCCAGTGCACTATTAACGGCCAGCCCAAAGACCACGTCAACTACAAGCTCTGGCTCCAGGTAAATTCACTAGAACACAAGCAGCAGAGCTGAAACACTGCTTGTGTGTGTGTATGGGCTCAGCAGACTTAATTTAGTATTATTTCTTAAGTTATATTTTCAACTGTCATTTTCTTTTCAGTTTATTTTTTTTAATTTAAGGTTTTATTTAATTTTATTTTTAAATTTAGTTTTAGTTCAGTTTTAGTTTTTTTTTCAGTTAGTATATTTTATTTGGTTTTAGTTCAGTTTTAGTATTTATTTTATTTCCAGTTAGCTTCAAAATTATTTTATTACAGTTTTAACAGCAGTTTCACCCATATTATCTCTTGCTTTTTAATTGGCTTTTAAATTTTTCATATAATATTTATATTTTATTTGATTTCAGCTTTGTCATTTTAGTTAATGATAGTAATAATCCTTTTGGTCAGTGAACAAACATCTCTGTGACTGACAAGATCTATATTTCCTCTTCACAAACAAAAGCAGCAGAACGTCTGATTGAACAAACACACACACACACACACACACACACACACACACTCACTCACACTCACACACACACTCACACACACACACACACACA